AGAGAGAGAGAGAGAAGAGAGAGAGAAAGGTGGAAGGAATAAGTATTTTCGTTTCCACTGGGAAACGTCGAGACCGAGCGAAGATTCGTTCATAGAGAAGTTTTCGAAATGCTTTCAAGCAGTCGGTTCATGATTGGGAAAACGAGTCCAAGGAAAATATGAAAGGAATCGATCGACTCAGGGAAAAAGAGAACGGAGAAGAGGAAGCACGAATTTCTTTTTAATAAACGTCCAGAAATTTTCTTTGCGGAGAGATGTAGCGTCGATAATACGAATGAGAAATGCCGCTTCTCAATATCGATTTTTAGCAGCGAAAGAAAATTATGGCAACCGCGTTTTTTTGGTTAGCGAAAGTATATATGTGAGAGTATACACGATAAAGTCGAATCTTCACGAACACGTACGAAGAAGAAGCAATATAGCGTTTGAAATTCGTCGTCTTCGAATGCCTTCTGATACATCGATCGTTGCTTAAAAAAAATCGCGAGAAAGAATCACGCGTTACAAATTTTCTTTCTACGCCCATAAATTGATAAATATTTGGATACAAACTCGTTCGAACGACGTTAAATATCTTCCTCCATAATTGAATCAATACGCGTTCAAGAAGATCGACGTGGTCAATAAACTAACTTAACCTAATTCAACTCGAGTGGTAACGAAAATTGGGCTGTTCGGAAAGTAATTTCGTTTCTTTACACGAGTGTCGCTAGTTGTCGAATGTTTATTCAGCCAACTTCATTCTAAACCGTGTTATTACATATTTCGAGAATTGGCTATATTTCATGTTTTATTTATAAGAAAAATTCGTTCGATTTCGTGCGATTGTGTTGTTCGTGCGTGATAACAAAGATACGAGACCGAAAGGAGCACAAAAAGACGAAAACGCTGTTCGGGTAAGAAAGTATACCAGTGTCGAAACTCGAAAGATCGATTGAAAAACTAACGAAGACAAAATAAAAACACCGATCGCTACAAGATCGAATTCGTCGAATTCGTCTGTTCGTGAAACGATTCGGTGTTTCTTTGTCGTAGAAAAAAAAAAAAAAAAAAAAAACGAAATTACTTCTCGAACAAGCCGACAAATAAAATTGTTCGTTGAACGACGAGGAAAGGCCAATCTCGCGACGAAAATTAATATCGAGGATCGTTGAACGATTTTAAATTTAAACCGAAATGGATTTTCTTTGAACAAACCCAATGTGTCGTTAGTTGTCGTTCACGGTCCAGGGCCGATACACGGGTTTCAAGGGTTTGGGCATGTCAGGGCTGGACACGCGGTTGCCCATCTCCCCGCGAAAGGGAGATGTTATGTATATACCAACAAAACATTGATTCGCTAAACTCATGATGTAATACGTCCATTTGAAATGAGCTTGGTCCCCGGCCAAAATCCTCGTCACAAAACACTGTGTAGGCAGCCAGCAAACAGAAACCCACCACGGGAAATAGGTCTGTCGCGGCTTCGTTCGACGATCGATACGAGAAGTATCGCGAAACCCTCCATCCCCCTTTCTTTTGCATCCATCCTCGTCCCTTTTTTCCATCTTCCTCTCCTTCTCCTAATCTCCCTTCCTTGCCTCCTCGACTCGTCCACCTCGACCCGTTTCCCGCTGTTTCGGCGGAGCTGCGTAGGTCTTCTCGAGGACACCTCGCTCCATTTTCTCCATTCTCGATGATTAATATTAACCGATCGTTGGTCGATCGATTTTCGAAACGAAATCTATATTTCCTTGAATTTTGAAGAGGAATTAAATTTTTAAAGGGAAGAAGAAGCAAGAGCATCGAGGAATTTTTTCTCGCGGATTCTTCCATTTCGAAGGTTTTGAAACCGTTGATCGGCTTTTTTTCTGTTCCCGATACGCTCTCAACCGATCGTTGGACGGCGGTATATCATCGTTTATGGGATTTACGAGGCCTGTACCGTCGCGCTGAATTACCAAAGACGATTTACGGTGCATCGTCGAAATATATATATTCACTGAAGTTCTTCCTTGGTGACACGATCGTGTACATCGAATATGTAGAATTGAAGTGGAAGAGAAAAAGAAAAATTTGAAATAATGAATGTAAGATTAAGGAAGGAAGCGTTAAAAAGGGGATAAGGGTGGATAAATATTCATGGAAGAATACGAAAGGTTAATTCGTTTAACGAGTTTAAAAAGATAAAAAGATCCGGGGGACAACGAAATCACTGGGTCAATGAGAAAGATTTAATTGGTTTGATTTAATCGTGACGTAAGCAGCACGGGCTAGGAAAACCGTGTGAATCGATCACACCTGCAAAATAAATATTAAACACCGATACAATTGCTACCACTCGTGAATTATTCAATAAAGCCTCACCCTACCATTTCAAAATTTATATCAATTTATAATCCCACGTTGAAATTGTTCCAAATGCTGCTTCCCATTGTTTTCAGATACCCTTAATAAAAATACCAATATAAAAATTTCTACAATGATAACATCCTCGATTTCAACAGATCGATTAATCAGACCCTTCAAGAGCTAGTTTCACCTTGCAGGTATCTAGTTATTTTCAATAATATGAAAATATAAAATAATAATACAAATATTTTTTTTTTACAGATATCACAACCAACTTCCAAATATTGCAATAATATCAATGTACAGAAATATAAAATATCCCATGATACACATCGATATAAATATTTTTACAATAACGACACCGATATCATATCGACGTTTCTACGCTACTACGATGATTCAAATTGCGA